CATAAAGCTAAATCATCATTGTGCGTAGTTTGATTTTTTCATTGTTGAGATATTTTTGTTACCAAATGCAATGCTCAAAATTTATTTGTGGTTTCCGTGCCGAACATTATAATGTCGGTCGATTCGGCGGCTAACTGCCTACCGAAAGAATGGTTCTAAAACAAGAATGTCGCATATTGAAGAGATCCTCTGGCAAGCTCTCAAATCAGATTAGGCAAAGGACAATCCAAAAGTTTCGATTATCGGCAATCCGCCGAAAATTTCGCCAATTTTATAGGGGAAATTTTGCGCCGACTCCAGCACCCAGCTGTTAGCCGTTGGCAACACTATTATTTAAATGTTTATTTATGATGGGCGATCCTATTGGGTATAAATCACAGCAGTCAAGATATATCCTATATACTTTAACATTTTATCTCAAAAACGCCCCATTTCGCCTTATCAGCTCTTTCTCTTTATCATAGTTCTTATGGTACGAGAACAGTCGTAGAAATGGATGTTTTTTGTAATCTATCGGCATGTCTTGCATGAATCAATTTGTTGTCTTTATTAAATTCTTTCAAACAGTTCGTACGTGCTTCGAGATTAACCATTCAACTGCGCTTTGGTTAACATTCACTATCACTGATAATTTTTTCCACTCTCACCGATCACATGCAGTTCCTTTTGTCATGTCATGCACCAATTTCAGTCGAATTGGCTCATTGAGCAGTTTGGCCGTATCGCACCGTTTACTGTCCCAAATCGGGTACTCTATCTTCTTCGTACTCTTTATATATCGTTCGTTCGTTATTTTTGTTCGAATTTTCGAATGTCTTTTGCACACCACTCATTCATGAATTTCACTACCATCGGAATGTCACAAGAAAAAGCAAACGCTGTCCGCTAAACGCAAAATGAAGAACAGAAATGCTCCTCGCTGCACGAGGCTTTCCACATTCAATCGTCACTGAATTCGATCAGCCCTCACACAATATGAAATAAGAGCGAATCCCCTCTCTTAATAGTGATAATAATGACTGATCTCAAACGCAAACGCTTCCCACAAAACAGCACTTCATCACTCATTATTCGTACATTGTGCAGAATCACTGTCATGCTTGAGAAACTATCACTACTTCAAAGTGAAACGATATTATCCATTTGAAAAAGTGGATACCAGTCAAAGTGGATACCAGATATCAGTATCAGTCAAATCAGTCAGATATCAGTCAAATCCCCTCACTGTATCAGTCAAAAAGCGCTATTGTAATTCTATAGCGGCCTTCTATTCCCTAAACCACAAATCATAGCAACAGGTCCGAATATTTCCAAACATTTAAATGCAACTTTGAATATTTGTTTGAGCAACTTTGAGTACATTTAATTTCTTCATTCCTCTCTGTTATGCATGATGATCAGTGCACACAATCACAGTGTATCGTCAGCTTGCCATTTGTGAATGCATTATTGATCTAAGCTATAGATTTCACCAGCATTATTTTAAATCGAATCCATCCAAAATCNAAATGCAACTTTGAATATTTGTTTGAGCAACTTTGAGTACATTTAATTTCTTCATTCCTCTCTGTTATGCATGATGATCAGTGCACATAATCACAGTATATCGTCAGCTTGCCATTTGTGAATGCATTATTGATCTAAGCTATAGATTTCACCAGCATTATTTTAAATCGAATCCACCCAAAATCACTTCCACATCGTTGGAGGTTTCAATTTCGAAAGGACAGCAAAAAGTGCGATAAACAAAGCAATTTTATATCACATCAGATCGGGGAGCAGAATTTGAATTATTTATAATCACAAATCAATTAGTTTTTAATGAGTAATTGATCTGTTACAGTTATAACGTGCGAGATCCAATATATTTGTCCGAACAACGCGTGCTTCAAGTGTTCATCAGAGGTAAACCCGTCTCGTTGACAGTACCAAATTCGGTCGGTAGTGTTAATCCGTTACGAGAAATTGATGCACCTAAAGAAGCTCCACAACTGGATTGGGTCAACGGGTGAGCTAATTACATCTGTCGCCCGCCCCTCAGACAATTAATGCTCATTTTATGTGTTTCCCCTCATATTTCGTCACAAATTTTCTTGTTGATAACGCATGGATTTTGAAATATTCGTAGACTGAAATTCTGTTCATCTCAAATTTGAATTCCCCACCAATTTCCATTGTGTCTGTTAAATCATTGGTAGGTAACACATCTGAATGATGAATTCGCAAACAAGAATTTGAAATTGAAACATTCAGGTACCGTGGAAGGGACTCGAGGTCTAATTTGCATCAATTGCCGACTGGTGAACTGATATACTTCACAGGTGCGGTTGTTGTCCTGCATAATCCTGATGATCAGTCGCAACGACACTATCTGCAGCATACTAGTGAGGTGAAATGGTGAGTTCAAGAGCTGTTTTTTTATCTGAAAATCGCAACTCTGAAGTTTTTATTGCGTTTCATTCATTTAAAGATTAAGTGAAAATAACTCGCTACTTCTGATTTATGGAATGAGAAATATGATTCACGAAGTTCCAAAAAATCCACGAATGACTGATTTTGAGAGTGATTAAAAAGAACAAACAGGCAGGTCTGTCCGCTGGTTGAAGATCTGTTTCAGTACGAATACGTTTCGTTCGTGTGCTCATCGAGTTGTCTCAAAATTTTCATTGAAGAACTCTTTGATATCTTCTGATGAAGTCACAATGTTATGCTGTTGATTCTCACAACTCAATTGTGAGAGTTCATCTGAGAATATTTTTGAATGCTCCTGATAGTCATCATTTCAGTATTGCGATTCATCCCAATAAGTTGTACGTTGCCACCGGTCAAACATCGAGGCATTCGCCCGAAAAGAAGGTTGCTTTACGAAATTCTTTCTCAGCTAATATATTTGAAAAGTTGTTAACTTTTTCACTTCCAATCCTGAAATCGAATTCAGACTGATAATCTCAAACTTTCAATTTTGTGAGGTTGGCAGATCACTCTTTGAAAGTTATGGTCACCGTGTAAGTTACTGGAATTTTCGTTTTAGATTCTTAACGAACATCGTTCACCAATCTGCTCTCCAGACGAGTTGACCAACGTTTTAGGCGCCGAGCAAACTCAGGTTCAATTTTGTCTTATATTAGCTTTTGTTGTGATGAGTTTTGATACGCATAAATCAGTGGTTCTCATAGGGGTGAAATTACCCATTTTGGGTAATTTGGAGGTGTCAAGTGGTAATGGAGGGGATCGGGAAATCAGTATTTTGTGCAGTTGTTATACATAACAGGGTTTTCATTTGTTTTATTAGGGTTTTCATTCTTTTTCTTNTTTCTTGCTGTTGTAATCGCTCTCATAACTTTTATCACCAAAAATGTTCTCTTGTGCTAATTTCTCATTCATTTTACTCAACAGTTAAGGTCAAATTCTCATTCTATCAAATACACTTTATAATTGATCATTTGACTGTGGAACGTTGTTGAGCAATACTATTCGATTGCTGTATTGTTGACTTCGGCTGTCAACACTCGTCAACGTGTTCAGTAAATAGTATATGCCACTGAATGAGAAACTGATTTGAACTGTGAAGTGAAATGAGACGAANACGTCTGAAAAGAATGAGAATCCATCTAAATCAGTTTGAAGTGAGCGTGTCACAGACAATAGCTTTTCATGCAATCATAATCGATTTCAATACTGATCATGAGGAACACAACAGTCTAACTATAAGAGAAGGCCCAGTGATGTCGATTACTATCATGGACATGCTAATAAGATTGAACGTAACGGTCGTGTGAACATAACATATGCAATTTTTATATTCAGTAGGGAGAGGGATAACGGCGGTTTGCCAGTTCGTCAAAAGGGGTAATGGAGTACCCGAACGTTAGAAACACTGGCTTAAGTGAACCAAATAAATTGGCTAGGAGAAGCATGACTAAAATCTCATTGTTCGATGTTATATGGCTAGAAATTGCCAATAAGTATTTGATTGATTCTTGCAAACTGATCAGTCTGTCAATCTTGTACTTGTACTGATCAGCCTCACTGTCAATTCATCAGCTGTCAATCGTCCATTCAATTCATCAGCTGATAATAATCGCCTATGAGAATTCGTTATGAGTCAAATACCATCTCAAATCAGCTCGGTGAATCGATTCAGCATGGAAATGTTATGATTTGATTCAGTTGACAGATTCTTGCCATATATTCCATGTTGTAAATTTAATAGCTTCTGAGTAGGCAATTCGAAAATTTCATTCAGGCGCATATTCGAATTTGGGACTCAATAACGTTGCATACGTTACGTGTGCTTGGTACCAATGATGCATCATTTGAAAAGGGTATTTCATGCGTATCGTTCAGTCGTTTCGACGGTGGCACGTTGTTGGCTGCTGTGGACGATTCTTATGAGCATACTTTGAGTGTATGGGAATGGCACAAAAGTAAACGCTTAACTGAAACGAAGGTGAGCCGAAATTTTCAGTGCCCTCCTGAGTCATCAACATTTATCGCTTATTTGCTTATAATTAGCATAATCGCCTGATCGGTCCGTCATTTCTACCAAGAATGGTCATCTTTTCAACCATCTCTTCCCGTTGCTGACCTTCGTCTTCGAACCTTCCCAACCATCTTCAAAACTCACCCGGATCCTGTGTGATGAAATTCTCATATTCTTTGCCGAACTATTTGACGAAATAATTGTCTCCAAATAGGGTCATTGCAATAAATGTTTTTAGATTGTTTCATAAGTTCACTAAAACTTACAGAGTGCTAATGATCAAGTGTTCGCTTGCGAATTTCATCCACAACTAAAAAATTTGATCATTGCGGCCGGCAAAGGGCATTTCAACTTCTGGTTCTTTGATGGTAGCACACTCAGCAAGAAACCAGCCCTTTTCGATGTGAGTCACTCGCCAAGTTTGTTCACATATTATTCATAGCGATTGTTAGAAATGAGATGCATATCTATGAGAAATCACATCAGAAAATCGGTGTATAGCTGTTCTTGAATAACATATGTTCCTAGACATTACAACTGGTATAGGTTGAAATGCTTTTACTATGAATTTCTAAAGAATGTGATTATTTCATATTATACATAGATCCTCTTGTAAAATAAGATCGTCCATTGCAGATTTATGCAGATTTTGATGCGGAACGAATAGACTGACTATGAGAAATGCGTCATGTATGAAAGTCGGTAGAATGATACATTTGAGTGGCAGTTTCATCTCAATGAAATTCAGTTGATTGCATGCGGAAGTAATTATCGTTTCAGGGTCGCGACAAACCCAAACATGTACTGTCGATTTGTTTTGCTGATAACGGCTATGTGATATCGGGCGATTCGAACGGAACAATTGCGGCTTGGGATCCGAAGATTGTTAAAGTTGTTAACCAAGCGTTCAGGGTTGGTGAAGCATTCTTATTGGTGTTCAAAACTTACTGTTTGTTAGCTTTTATATGACGCTGTTTCGTTTTTAACAATCAATCAACATTCATGCGATTTTGTGATCAAATAGAGCAATTTGAAAAGAGTGACAATTTCAGGTGCATGAAGGAGGCGTTTGGGCGTTGTGCTTGCTGAATAACGGTCATATTGTATCGGGTGGAAAGGATGGAATTCTTGCCGAATGGAGTGTTCCTGATCTCATTAAAATGCATTCCTATTCTTCCGTTAGTCTTAATACTCTTAGTCATTCATCGCTCTTATCAGTTGATCACATTATTTGAATTGTTATGAATGTTTTTGTTCATTCTCGCAATCAGCTTGTTTTGCGAGCGATTCGCTGGCAATACTTACATTGAGATTGAGGAGTTAGTTTTCTGTCTGATCGAATAAATCTATTGCAGTTGCCCGACGATGCTGGTATTATTCGTACAATAGCTCCTGCGGCTGGATCAGCGCTTTTAGTTGGCACAACACGAAATGCGATACTGCGTGGTAATATGAACACTGGATTTGAGTATATCCTCCAGGTATATTCCTCAATTGTTTATCCCATTTTGATCTCTTCAAAGTATAATTGTTCTAATTTAAACTTTTATTCAATCCGAGTCGATTATCGCTAACGTTGAATTGATAAATCAAATTGAAATGTCTTATTTTTCCACTGCTGAAGATCTTACATATTTTAGGGTCATGCCGAAGAGCTTTGGGCGTTGTGTGCACATCCGTTATTGGCGCAGTTCCTGACTGGTTCAATCGATGGAACGTTGAGGCTATGGGATTCATTATCCAAATCAATCGTTTGGTCAATGCAAGTTCAGGTGATTGATTAATTGATTGATTTGTTGCGATCATCTTTTATCTCATCATTACCTGTTCGCCGTCCAGTCTACAGTACTTCATCCCGATCGTGCCTAAGATGACGCACTATAGACAGGATATCGGAACATGTTCTGGGTTCCACATTCACAAGTTCGACAGTCAAAAAATCTCATTTAGAAAAGTTTTCAGCGAAAAACGTTGAACTCATAAATTGGGAAACTTCAGGAACAAAAGAATGTTATTGAAGCGAATGAATTTTTGATGTTGCAGGATGGTATTTCGTGCGTTGATTTTCATCCGTCTGGGAATTGTTTTGCAGTTGGTACACCGATTGGCTCGTGGATCGTTTATGATACAACAAATCGAGAAGCCTTGAACACAATAGCCGAGCCGTCGAAAGCCATATCAACTCTCCGCTTTTCGCCCGATGGTAAATCCATTGCCGTCGCAACAAAGGTGCCATCATTATGCTTGTCTTCCTTAATATATCTCATAGCTTTTATAGTATCCATCGCCTTTATCTCAATTTCCATTTTGAATCGACCTTTTTTAGCTTCATCTTACGCTTTCTGAATATTCCGATTTCGTACTGCTTTCGAGCAGGTGCAGTTTTCTGGATGTCACTTTCTGAACAGATGTTATCATTTCACAACTTTGAAAAAATAAATACTCTGTTGAATTAAAATATTGGAGAAAACTTACATAGAATAGTTACACTTGAAAGGTTGGTTTGGAATTTGGTCAATTTCGAGTGATGCAAAGTCTGCGTTTTTTTCAGGAATCTCATTTCTACCTCTACGCTATATCCGAAAATTTTGAATATTACATTAAAAGTGCGGAGTTCTCGGTCAGTTTTCTCGCCAAGTAATTCGTTTTAGAGTTTATCAATTTGACAATTTTGCGTCTTGAAAAATGTGAAAACATATCTCATGAAGGCTATAAAAGCTCATGTTTTTTTAATGCAAATCCGTTTTCAGGGTTTTACACCCTATATCACAACAATGGATTGGTCTACGGATAGCGTCTTGATACGAACAAACACAAGCGAATTCGAGCAACATATCTGTAAGTGTTTGAGACTTTTTATTAACTCGTCTAAATCAATGGAATTTTTGGTGTCGAATGACTGACCGGTGAATTGTTTACTTCTAGGGAATACGACAACAGGTGCTTTGGCTGAGACGAGTTTGATACGTGCCGCGGAATGGTCTACGTCCAGATGCATGGTGTCGTTCGAGAACGGTTGCATCACGCAAACTCTGCCTGGTATTATGGCCATTGAACGCTCACCAGATTCTGCTTCTGTGGCCGTTGCCATAGATAATGGTGCTATTCGTTTCTATCAGTACCCAACCACCACTGTGACAGTAAGTTGTATTCCTGATCAGTTTGTTTCGTTTTCATTCGAAATTCCTGATGAATCACACACGTTTACCATAACTTTACGAAAGCATTTGTAAAAATTCTCAAGAATCGCACTCAAAATCCATCAAATGAGGTCCACTTCAAAATCAGTAGAAAGAAATCCACCTCCAGTTAAAACCTGAATTGATTGAAGTGCGATTTCAGGCAATGTATGGTGAGATTTTCGGTCACAGTCCATTTATCGCAAATATCGCCTTCCTACCGTCTCGTCTGATCAGCATCGGCGCCAAAGATTCAGCCATATTTCACTGGCGATTATAATGCTGTTGTCTTCAGCACCATCTCAGTATCATTCAAAGTCTATCAAATGTCATGAAAAGTGAACAGATCACGCATGAAAGTGTTCGTCATCTTTTACAGAACTTAGATCTGCTCATACGTTGCATCTCAAAACACATCTCAGAAACTATGATTGAAATCGAGATTAAAACTAAATTTTGAAGATATGCCGCGGTGATGAAGTGTTTGAGATGAATTTGATGACGAGCAAACTTCTAAGTTTAATTGAGATCCAAACCATTAGTCCCTTATCCGAACTAAACTTTTTTCAAACTCTGTTCGCTTCTTCGCACAACAAATAACGCACTTTCACAGATATGGGTATGCAACATCGAGGAAACTTCTTCGGATAAATATTCATTTGCCTGATTTTTGTTACCGTTGATGACCATATATCTCTTTCTTCGCTTTCAGATCACTGAATCATTTGTCACTAATTTGCAACACAATGTGATGTGTTCTGTTCATTCATTCAGATTTATATTGGTTGTAGAAAGTTATTGTGTTTATTGAATTGAATTGCGTTAGAATTGCACTGATGAATGATTTGATTTTGATAATCGTATTTATTTGTGTAACGCGTTCCTTGTACTCTGCTTTGAGCAGTTTGCGTATGTCGAGCTTGAATGGTATGAAAAACGTTTGCAGCGAGTTAATTTGGAGATCATCTAATTGTAAGCCTAGAATAAGAGAGACGAAATTCATTAGTAAAGTGGCATCCAGAGATTCACGAGTAAGCTAGAACCATTTAATATTTGTGTAAATAGAGGGCGACTATGAGCACACTGGTGACGGTAATTGACTGAAGGTCAAAATTTTATTTTTACTCGGAATCTTCGAAAATGTAAGTCATATTCTGATAATACATAAATTTCGTCGTTCGGTTACCGTCACTAAAGCAAACCCTGCAAAAAGTGTGCATCTAGTTGAAAAAGTTTTCGCTGCAGTCAATCATTATGAATGGAGATTTGTTCATCATCATNNATGACTGATTATTGTCAATTTTCGCAGTGAATTATTTGGCATGCCTCGTTCGTTAGTTGTGAGTAGTTGTTTATCACAATTATTGTTATCGTTGTTGTCATTAACGATATGACGATAATGATTTCTATTTAAGTAATGTTTTGAATATCGTTACAGCTGTGATTATTATGGTCATTATTTATTGCGACTGCAATAACAATTTTTTTTTGAATCACCGACATGTAGGGAAGCGATTTTCTTCATTTTTATTCACTGACTTTTATTCTGATTTATCAGTTAATAACGTATCAGTTGAGCAGATTCTTTGCCATCCAAAGGCAAAGAATTCTTTGTTATCATATATGTTTGCTTCATATATGGTGATTCATTTCATGGTCAGTTTCCATTTGATAAAAATGGAACATTTCTCCTGATGTGAGTAAAATGCACCATTCCAGTTCAAAGGCTGTGAAGACATCAGTAAACCACTTCGCAAAAAAACTTTGGAATAAATTTCACACTTTGGAACGAATGTCGCTGAGTGCAAAAGAATTTTATGACAACATCAAATAATATTTGTAATATTTGATCATTTATGCAACAGGCAAAATACACGGCGTTGAAAGAGTCGACAAGAAGACATTTTAGTAGTGAGAAGAGGCATGTAATTAATTACGCTTTTGATAGCGATATGACAGTCATAACGACATCTTTATGACAGTGATAACAGCAATATTAATGGTAATAACAACACCAGGAATGGTCATAGGAATAACGAAAGTAGCAGCAGTGTTCACGTTTGTATCACCATCATATCACAATTAAAGTTTGATGATGTTACAAAAGTTGTGCCGTGATTAAAGGGGCAGTCAAGAGTTTGAGCGTGATTTACTGGATGCAGTTGATGAGGATGACGATCTTGACACCGACGATCTTGAGGTTGTTGCGGTCTTTTCCTCGGAAATTTTCGACAGTTTATCATCAGACGGTGTCGATGACTTACTGCTATCATCAGAGGAATCTGCTTCATCACCAGAATATGTCTCGAATGAAGAGTATGTCCCACCACCATCGACGGTTACCGTCGTCCCTTCATCGCTTTTCGAATTGCCGTTTTCCTGGAACGGCTTCGAAATTCAAGAAAATTCATGTTGACGTAAAAAGATCATAAACATTCAGACGTGGTGATCAGCAGAAGATCATTTACGTATAGTCAGTGCATATCACGCATAGATATTAACCAATATTCGTTGACTTATTTATTTATTCCGTGTGCTGTTCATATGTTAGCAAAACTGTAACACACCGAAAACATGACGATGTGAACCAATCGTAATGATTCGGCATCATAAAACTGCTCAACTCGCATGAAATGCACTCAGTTGAATTAAATGCTTCTAAGTTATCTCTTTGGTAGTATTTTTCTTGAAGTCGAAGACAAAGAAGGAATTCTTCAAGTTACATGTTTCAACGACTTCCGTGAGGAACCAGAAGCTGTAGAGGATCTAGAAGAGGCGAGTTCTTGTACGTTGTTGCTGGTGGCTCTGGCTGAAGACGAGTCCTTGAAAGTAACCTTTTTAATGCCACTTCTCACCTTTGCCATACTCTCTTCGTATTTCTTCTGGAACCTGAAATTTAAACCGAATATTCTGCTTAATACACAACTCAAATCCAAAAGTCAGTAAGTGATAAATGATCTACATTCTGATCATTATCAGTAATGGTTTACAAGGAATAATTTAGTGAATATCGACCGGGAATATAAATGAATACTAGTGTGTGNGTGTGTGCAGATAAATCTAAAATCAGAATGCAAATTGCAAAATGAAAGCACCTTTGCTTTTCGATAAGCATTTCTTGTTGTTCCAGCACTAAAGCCCTACTCAGCAACCTTCGATTCATCGCTTCTAGTTCTTGACGATACTCTTCAGTTCGATTTGCCTGCTCTCGTCTGAATATTTGCTTGAGATTGAAATTTACGATTCAGAATTTCAAAAAAAAAAATCATTGGGAAAATCGTTGATCTAGCAGTATCAATCGTTGATCTAGCAGTACGTTCGAATAATAATTGAGAACACTAAACGGAACATGCAAACGGAAAGAAGTATCGGACGAGTTAAGAACTAGATGAAACCAATAGTATAGATATGCGAACAAGGATGGACCCTTATGTCCATTATTAGGAGATGGTGAGAGAAGTCTAACAGTACAAATGGAGGTAGTTGAGAGCAGAGGTCAAATCAAGTTCGATGTTACAGTTTGGTTCTGGTGATTAAGTTGAAAGCGGATTAAATTCGATTGATTCAGTGACAAACCTTTTTTCCTCAAGTTTCCTCTTAACGTCATCCGAAACAACTCCTTCGGCCGATAACCGTTGC